GGTGTCGGTCGCGTGGATTTTTTGGTGTTATTGTTTTTGTTTATTTATTTGTTTATTTTTATTTTTCATTATTGTTTTTCATTATTATTTATTTATTTTTATTATTATTTTTTGGTGAGGGAATGGGTACTATGGTCTTTATCTCCTCCTTGTTCTCCGTCTTTTCCTTCCCCCATCGTATTTTCTTCTTCTTCTCTTCCTTCTTCTTCGTTGCTTTTTCTTTGGCCTGTCATTTCTTCGCTATCCTTTCTTTTCCTTCCTCATCTGCATCTTCATATTCTTGTTTGTTTCGCCTTTTGCTGTTTCCCTTCGTCTACTCTTTGACGACTTTCTCTCTCTCTCTCTCTCTCTCTCTCTCTCTCTCTCTCTCTCTCTCTCTCTCTCTCTCTCTCTCTCTCTCTCTCTCTCTCTCTCTCTCTCTCTCTCTCTTTCTCTCTCTTTCTCTCTCTCTCTCTCTCTCTCTCTCTCTCTCTCTCTCTCTCTCTCTCTCTCTCTCTCTCTCTCTCTCCCTCCCTCCCTCCCTCCCTCCCTCCCTCCCTCCCTCCCTCCCTCCCTCCCTCCCCCCTCCCTCTCTATCTATCTATCTATCTATCTCTCTATCAATATATATATATATATATGTACATATAAATAAATAAAAATGCCTATGCTGGTGCTTAGTCCTTCATGGAGCTTATGGCATTTTGGAGAAAAATTGTCGCCAAGGGAAAGGGTTTGCTTTCATCAATCATTGCGAAGTGCACAGTTGCATTATTTTACGAAAATACATTTTGCAATTTTGTGTGATTTATTGTGTTTTTGTGTAAAGGTGTGAAGGAATGCGGTCTAATTTGGATAATGAAATGAAGTAATGAAGTCTGTATGTAGGACGATGTGAGACAATTTATAATGAATAAGGCAAAAAATGAATTTAACAGTTTTTTTTTCATTATTTTATCGCTAATTTACATATTAGCATTGATATTATCATTCATTAAACATTTAATTGTATGAGTATATACTTAGAACCCTTTTTAACTATTATCATTATTATTGATATTATTATTGTTATTATTATTATTATTATTGCCATTATTGTTGTTATGTGTGTTACTATTACTATTATCTATATTATTAATATTTTTTTATTATTATTATTATTATTATTATTGTTATCATAATTATCATTATTATTGTTATTGTTATTATTATCACCATTATCACTATTGTTGTTTTGTTATCATCATTATCATTATCATTATTATTGTTATTGCTATCATAATTATCATTATTAGTGTTATTGTTATTATCATCACTGTCATTATTATTGTTATTGTTATTATCATTATCATTATTATTTTCACTATTACTATTGATGTTATAATTATTAGTATGCTCATCATTGTTATTACTATTATTATTATTATTATTATTATTATTATTATTTTATTATTATTATTTTATTATTATTATTATTATTATTATTATTTTATTATTATTATTATTATTATTTTTATTATTTTAGTAGTAGTAGTAGTAGTAGTAGTAGTAGTAGTAGTAGTAGTAGTAGTAGTAGTAGTAGCAGCAGAAGCTTTTTCCCTTTGTCATCCTGTATGTACCGAAATTACCATATGATTAATAGCAAGAATGGATCTATATATTCAAGACCATCGACGTCGGAGGTTCTTGCTTAAGATGTTTTCCGAAGAAGCTTCCTCCTTCTCCGACCTCAGTCCGGAAGTCTTAAGGAGTTCCTGTGTGGTGTTTTTTTCTGGGTCTGAATGTGTGTGTATGAATGATTGTTTCTGGGTTTGTTTATGTATGTTTATCTGTGTGTTTGATTGTTTTTTTCTCTTGTCTTTTTTTTCTCTTTCTTTTTTCGTTTTTGTTTTTATATTCTCTATTTATTTTTTTATCTGTGTTACTCCTCTTTCTCTTCCCATTTTGTTTTGCTCTCTCTTTCTCTTTCTCTTTTTCCTCCTTTGGGAAATGCGGAACGTAGGCCGCCGTGTCTAGCAAGCGATTTTGCAAATTCAAACGTGTTTTCGTTTAGAGGAGGAAGGAGGAAGAGGAGAAGGGAAGAAGGAGGAGGGGAGAGGAGGAAGAGGAGAGGGTGGAGGGGAAAGAAGGAAGAGGAGAAGGGAAGAAGAAGGAAGGGAGAGGAGGAAGAGGAGAGGGAGGAGGGGAAAGAAGGAAGAGGAGAAGGGAAGAAGGAAGAGGGGAGAGGAGAGGGAGGAGGGGATAGAAGGAAGAGGAGAAGGGAAGAAGAAGTAGGGGAGAAGAGGAAAAGCAAGAGGAGAAGGAGGAGGGGAGAGGAGGAAGAATAGAAAGGAAGAGAGAATAGGGGAACAAGGCAGGGGTAAGGGGGTAGGGATAGGGTAGGAAGAATGGGAAAATAAGGAGGTAGGGGAAGGAGGCAGGGGGGAGGGGAGGGTAAGCAGGAAGGTGAGAGAAAGGGCCATGGGAGGGAGTGGAGGAGATGATTTGACACTGTTGTCGAACGGAGTGGTTGACTGACAGA